TCCAGCTGAGGAGAACATGCGACACATAACACAAATTAAAATGTCATGTCTGTACACTACTGGGGCTAACTTGCAATGATTAGGTCAGATAGCTAGCTAGCTCACCACCAACATCAATGAAGTGTTTTGCTGCCAGTCCAGATCTTGGTGCTGGGGAGGGAAAAACCACAAAAAGACAGTTACAGACGACCTGGTGTTTTACAACTGGTGCACAAACAGGAAAGACTAACACGAGTTCACACAACAGATAACTCAAATAAAATAAAATAAACCCAAAAACAAATAAAAATTGAATAGCAGAGAGACACTCACCAACTCTCCCATAGTAGCCATGTGGAACTGCTATCTGAATGTCTGTCTTTACAATGGCCTTATCCATAGGAGGAATGGAGTAATTACACGCACTGTTAAGTAAAGACAGTAAAGGTAAGCGTATCTGCATTTTTAAAATAATAATTTAAGTTAAAGGTACAATCAGACTTAAATATACATGCACACACATCAACAGTCACAAATTAGGCATCTAGTGAACCTAACCTAACAATTTCAGTTTAAAGAGTTACTAACCTGTAGAGGTCATAACCTGCTGCTTTAGCTGAGCCTCTGGTCGGGGTCGTAGCATGTTCAGAAAGTTTTGCAAATTTGAGGACAGGTCTTTCCTCTGCAGGGTTTGTTTCTGTCTTTGTTCTCTTTAATGGAGAAACTGCAGAAGCATCTGTGACTTCTAGGACGGGCATGTTGGCAAAGTATGCACAATTAAAAACTTACAGTACAATAAAAAATTAAAACCTACTAAAAACTAAGTAATTGATCATTAAAGGACGACACTACAAACTTCCACCAACAATCTGCTTCAGTGTGTTCCCGGGTCTGCGAGATTATTTGTATGAGATTCCCGCGTTCAGTCAAAGTAGTTAACGTGAGTTTTCTCGCGAGAGTTACTAATATAAACATTTCGAACTTCCGGTGGAAAAATATATCAGCCTACAAAAATAAAAAGGAAATCGTTGACATAAGCCTTATACATTATATATCCGAACAAAGCAGAATGACTGTTTCGCTTACGTGGTTCGAACACGACAAACAAGAAAGAAAAGAACATGACCAAACCAAAGCAGACAGTTACAAAACGCTAGGCAGGCTAGCAAAGCTAATGCCACTAAGCACTTCCTGGCGTGTCGGTCATGGTGGTGTTATCGCTCGTAATTTCTTGCTTGCCTTTATTTTTAGTTGTCATTTGAAAGTGCAGTTCTTTCCCCAAGAAACGCGGAGCAGCGTTAAAAACCCGCGAGCATAGTTGAAAGTCCTTCAGCAGTATTCGGGCCATACTGTTAATAATTTCGTTTTGCAGGTTTCGCAGGTTTCGCAGGTTCACGAACGCCGCACTCCCTCCCCCCGTGTCTCGGAGCAGCTCTAAGCTTCAGCAGCGTATAAAGTACCCAAACGATTGGATAGGCTAGAACCAAGAAACGAAACACGATTTATATACTCTTCGTCGTATCGACTCGCAACCCAGTTCTGGTTGATAGGGTATGTTTTTAAATATAAATTTAATTTGCTGTCACAGCAGCCGGGCTAGTTCAAATCGTGGCATCAGCACCGAGATTTGGCATTATCCCCAAACGCTGCTGCATCATACCCAAAATGCTGTGCAGTCATCTCCAAAGAGCAGGACATCTCCTACTCCATATGCCACAGCATACATGCCGCCGTAGCATCTGAACGTGCTGGTATCACGATTTAAATCAGAATCAAAATATTTTATTAATCGCCAAGGAAATAATGTCATTACAGTTGCTGTAAGACAATAACAGTAACAAACTGAACTAAATTTAATAATGTAAAAAGAGCATGTGCAAAAGAGTCTAACTATTGCACTGTGTAGTGTGCATTAGATGGGCAGGATTACTGTGGCCCCTAGAGAGTTTGTACATGCTTTGTCTCTAGGGGCCACCGTACAGGATTGATTTCTTGCATCGTTCTTTGGTGCATTTGGGTAATTTCAGTCTTTCACTGAATATTCTCCTGTGACTGGCCAGCATGTCATGGCGAAGGTGGGAGGTATTATCCACCATTGTCCTTATCTTGGACAACACCCGCCTCTCTGACACCACCTTAAGGGAGTCCAGCTCCATCCTCACAACACTACTGGCGTTTCGGATCAGTTTTATTGAGTCGATTGGCATCTGCGACTGACCACAATAGCAGGGTGGTATTGACCACAATAGCATAGAGGATGGTACTGACCACAACAGACTCGTAAAAAAATCCTGAGCATTGTCTGACAGATTTTAAATGATATGGTATGATCACCTTAATTCGTCAACACAGCCTGAATTCTTCAGGCATTTTGAAGCTGTTTTTTGGAAACAGCTTCGCTCTGTTCTCTGGCAAGATGATTCCGTGCTACTTAAGTAAAGTTAAGGTCCAGGATCTGGTGAGGCCAATCCATGACTAGTGGTGCTGTTTTTCTATCTAGGTATGCTTTTACTGGATTGGCCATGTGTTTGGGATCTATTTAAAAATTAAGCTATTGGCAATCAGATGCTTTCCAGATGGTACTACATAGTAGCTCAAAATCAGATTTTTCTTGGTTCTTGAGTGTATTGATTTTGACAGAATCCCATATATCACAGGCTGAAATGCAGTCTTAAACCACAGCCTACGAATGGCTATAGACACTCATTGTTGGACTCCTTGCCTTCTCTGTATACAGTGATGATTTGAACCAAAAGTGTCAAATTTGTTTCCTCAGTCCATAAGACCTGGTACTACTGATTTGATCTTGTGTCATTTGGCATACCTCCATCTAGTCTCCCTGGTCACAACTGAAAGGCCAGATGCATCTCTCATATTCTGGATCAGCTTTTTAGGAATTAAGTTGTCTGTTACAGTCTTTTTTTTATGCTTGAATGATTCCTAGATCACTGTTAAACAACTTAAACAAACAAACAAAAACATGGTCAGGTACAAGGACTGGCCTGAAAATGACTGAAAAAACAGCCGATGTTCAAAGATCATACTCAGAGTATCTATATCCCTTTATCTGAGAACAGAGTTGAAGTTTAAGATTTTCTCCTTTGAATTCAATTCAATTCAATTTTATTTATATAGCGCCAAATCACAACATAAGTCGCCTCAAGGCGCTTCATAGATACAGAGAAAAACCCAACAATCATATGACCCCCTATGAGCAAGCACTTGTCAACAGTGGGAAGTAAAAACTTTTAACAGGAAGAAACCTCCGGCAGAACCAGGCTCAGGGAGGGGCGGCCATCTGCTGCGACCGGTTGGGGTGAGAGAAGGAAGACAGGATAAAAGACATGCTGTGGAAGAGAGACAGAGGTTAATAACAGATATGATTCAATGCAGAGAGGTCGATTAACACATAGTGAGTGAGAAAGGTGACTGGAAAGGAAAAACTCAATGCATCATGGGAATCCCCCGGCAGCCTATGTCTATTGCAGCATAACTAAGGGAGGATTCAGGGTCACCTGGTCCAGCCCTAACTATATGCTTTAGCAAAAAGGAAAGTTTTAAGCCTAATCTTAAAAGTAGAGATAGTGTCTGTCTCCCGAATCCAAACTGGAAGCTGGTTCCACAGAAGAGGGGCCTGAAAACTGAAGGCTCTCCCTCCCATTCTACTTTTAAATACTCTAGGAACAACAAGTAGGCCTGCAGAGCGAGAGCGAAGTGCTCTAATAGGGTGATATGATACAATTCAACTGATGGTGAATAGTTTGTGTTGGATCACAAATTTTAGCTCTTTCTGTGGGTTAAAAGTGGTTAAAAGGGGATTCACATTCAGTGTAATATATTCATAGACACATAATATAATCAGGGAGTTGTGGCCCAATACTGACCAGTTATGCCTGTATAGGTGTGTTTTTTTTCTTGTTTCTTTAAACTGCAAAATTTTAACTACAGCAATTAAAATAATAGTTTTAAAGTGCGCTAAATTATGTTTGAACTCTGTATTGTTGATGTGACACAGCAGATTATGGCTACTGCCAATGGTAAAGGTCGTCTTATTTGCTGATAGGGAAGGCTGATCTTGATTTGGCTGATATGTAGGTGGCATGTGCAGCTTTACTTTTAACTCAAAAGATCTTTTATGGTTTGCAATGAATAAATATGTCTGGTGAAGGGTAAACATCATTATTGTTAAACCTTAGGTTCTGCTGACTACTTTCAAAGTGTGCATACTTTTTATTCCCAGTGTGCCAAACTGTATAGAATAATCATCATAAAATGAGAAAATACCCAAATGATGTCTGTAAGGTACCAAGTAAGATACTATACATTTAAAATAATAGACATCTAATTTATATACTGCAGTATATACCCCATTTCCCCCTCCACTGACACATTTCTCTGGACATAGAACATCTGACACTATAAATAAATATAATATATTCACATAAGGAGACATCACAAATGTTTTTAATCTTTATTTCAGCTGATTAACATTATGTGCTTAAATAGATAGACTAAAATAGGAAGGGTAAAATTTACAGAATAATCTGATTTATAATGTTCTACCTTATTCCATTGCCCTTAAAAAGTGTACTATGAAAGTAACATGAAAAATATTGAAAAAATGTCACGTGAAAGGTAAACATCTGTATAATGGCAGCAGTGTATTTTACACAGTGAACATAACAAGTGTTTAAAAAAGAACTGATAATAAAGTTGCCAATAACAAGATGTTGATCATTTCTAGAATACACACATCTACTATATACAATTATTTTACAGTCTGACATTGCACAGCCGTGGTTGTGTCTCTGCCTTTGTTTATGAACTGATTTGAATTGATTTGACTATGTGTTTTTCTAAGCAGCTACATTCATATTTGGACACATTTCACATTTGCAAATTCAATTTCGGAAATACAGACTTGTTGTGTGTGTGTCCTTTCTTAGAGGGCATATATATATATCTATATATATCTCTCTATATATATGCTTATATGCTGGAGTTATCCACAAATGCTTGATTGTGTTACACTTTTCTGCTGGCCTGGAAGACTAAATATTCTTGTACATTTTATTTAAACATGGCTTGTCATTATGGCAACACCATTCCTTTTCCTTTCTAGCTATATCACACTCGGATTGTTGGCAGGGAGAGTGCTCAAGAGTAGAAAGTTAGCACGCTCTTGTGGTTGCCTCTAATGAGCAGGGTGGGTGGAAGGTCCTTTGTCAGGATGTCCAGCCAGGCCATGTAGAGGAAATCAGAGATCGTTTCTTTACGAGCTATGGGCATGCTCCTACAGGGGGTCAACAGTGTAAACAAATATGTTAGACATTGTTCTTTCAACACTGGATTAAGCTTGGTAGTGTTATTCAGACAATATATACTTACACAATGATTAAATTGGCTGATCTGGAGTGTTCCTTGAGGAGCTCATTCAGTCGTACCTGGAGGTGTGTCTGTAACCAAGCGACAGTTATTTTTTTTTAACAATAAATTTTTTATTTTGTTTATATTGATATGAAGATAATACATGATATCTTCACTGTAGCCTGTGTAAGGTTATTACTTAGTGTCAGTGCTTTTTACCTTCTCCTCAAACTCGCTTAGCTCTTTGTCGGTGACCTTCCAGGGCTGCTCTTTCTGCAAGGCTCTAATCTGATCAGCGTCTTTGGACCCTTCATGCAGACGGAAAGGCTCAATCATCTCCTGTAACTCCTTCAAGCTGGAGAAATGCAAATGCAAATAAGAACATGAGCTTTCTCTATAAATGTTCTTTTTCTCCCCTAAACTTGTAGCATGCTGATATTACAATGTGATTCAATTTTACTATTACTACTTCAGCATCTGGTTCGCTGTTACTTGTGCATGTGAAAAGAAATGGCAGTTACCTTTCAGACCTGGGCTTGATATGTAGGTCATCAAAGACATTAATGTCACTGCAGTTGATTCTAAACTTCTTCAGCAAGCCCTTCATCCTGCAAGTCAAATCACCCCGCACTGATTAGCTGTCCTATACATGTACTTCCTCATTTTGGTGTTAATGCTAAATAGCATTCCAGTAACGTTAGCAGCACATGAATTTTCATATCTTGCCAATTAATGTATCCAGTCTAACTTCCACATATTAAACTGTAATTGATATTGAAATATTAATTAGTTTACTCACTCCTCCTTATCCAGATCACTGCGTCCAGGCTGTCCTGCCATGAAGATCCTCATTTTGCAGTCTTTCCACTTCTTCCTGGTAGTGAGGATGTAGGGGAGGAGCAGTGTAAGACCTGAGAGAAGAGAAGCACATTTTTTATTTATTGGTCCGTGTTGCGTCTTTCAGAGACTACTACTTTTTAAAGATTTGGCTTGTTTCATATATTTTTGTCTCCAGTGATATCGAGGAGAATGTTATGGATTTGTGTGCGCCTATCTGTTACGAACTTCAGGCAGTGTTCATAAAAATGATCCAAGAATTACCTCCGTCATCAAACAGCCACCACACATCAATGGTGCCTTTGGGCTGTTTCTTCTTGAACTGAAGACTGGCTTCCACCAGCTTCTCATTCATTTTGGCAACCTGTGGCGGTGGAGAGCCACACACCGACACTGGGAGAGAGAAAGAAAGGGAGAAAGATATGAGAGCAACAGCAGGAGGGAATATAATTCACTGTAAAGTCGGATATGAAAACTATCACAAACCAACATTAAGAGATGACTCTACATCACCAGAAATGGCCGTCTCTCAAGTTTAATGCTCCAATGAGTAGGGTGCATTTTGTATACTAATGACTGCCTTGTCTCGCTGTCTTGCCAAGATGCAGCTCAGGGATGAGTGTGTGTTGGCGTGTGCGTGTGAAACAGAGAAAGATTGAGCTACAGGCTGCAAGCACCCTCTGCTGTCTGTCTGTCTAAAAGATGCTCTTCAAAGTGGACAAAAAGGAGTGTATTATTGGATTACAGCCTCAGGGGCCTCTTTAGTGGGAATGGCGGATTCAATTATGTCTCAATGTGAGCACCCCCCCCCCAAAAAAAAAAAAAGAAAAAAAAAGAGAGTCATTGGTTTCATTTATTAAATGTAAGCTATTTGAGTCTGTGTGTGGAGGAGACTGAAAAAGAGAAACGTGCTTCCACATATTAAGAGATCACATTCATCTTTTGATGCAACTTTTTCTTTAACCCTTTCAGGCATAGTGGTCGCTACAGTAGACAGCTATTCAAAGGCTGTTTTCTTGTATTTGTGTCAGTGTTGATGGTATACTTGCACATAAACCACTACATTGGACACTAATGTGTCACTCCATCCCCTGCCACCCACTGGTCGTTTAACGTTACTGGAGATATATGACGTGTTTCATTGTAATTATTGTTATTTAACCCTGTTATGCATGAATTATGACAATCTCAATCTGGATTTTTTCATTAAGTATTTTTATTTTTCATACCTAAAGATGAATGTAAATGTGAGGCTGTCATACTTCGTGCATGAAAGGGTTAACCATCTCAGGCTCAAATTAAGTTTTTTTGTTGCTAATGCACAACCAAGTCCGGCAGTGGTACTTCTGAGTAAAAAAAACTCATAAGATATGTATGTGGGGTAATCAGGTTGTTAGTTTTTAACTGTTGCAAATCAGCAACGTCTGCCTTGAGAGGGTTAAATAGGAGTTAGAGACAGTCGTAAGATGGGTACCTCTGGTCGTGAGCACTTGCTGAGATGACTTCCTGGATTTCCTGAATAGTCCTTTTCCCTTCCCTCCATTTGGCATCATCTCATTCTCCAGAGCCTCTTGCTCCTTTGCTGCCCTTAGCATCTCCTCTGAAAAACAGAATGGGAAACATGACTGTGTATAGGTGTTACACAAGGTAGGATCCCTTTTCTTATTGGAAAACAAATCTGCAGAGACACAGCTATAAATGGCATTTTTTTTAAATATCTTATCTGTGAACTACCTGACCGTTGTAAACCTTTATTAAAAGCTTCTAATCTACAGAACAAAGTATCTCGGTTTATCAGTGTTTTTATTATTATAAAGGGTTATTGTGAGTTGTTGTGACAGATGTACAGCAGTTTCTTACAACAGTTTTTCTTAATTTCTTGGTGGTTTGTTTTCTCTACCATGGGTATGTTGATGCTGGAGCTCTTGCGGGTTAAATAATTTAAAGCCTAAAGACAATATCATACAGACCTTCTGCCTCGACAATGTGAGACACATCCAGTCCCTGGTTCACCCTCAGCATTGCGGTCCCGTATTCAAAGTCAAATGCATCGCTGTCAACAAGAGAATAAGGATGCTAGTTCAAACACAGATCTCCTGTTTATGCTTAATTACCTTTATGCTTAATTACGGAGGTTGTGCTTTCGGTAGTCTGTGGTGTACATGTGTGTCATATACAAATACAATAGCTCAAAAACTTTTGAATGAATTCTAATGAAAAAGAAAATCTGGCTTACATCCACTAAGAACTTCAAGGTCAACTTCATGATTAATTCGCTGAAAATTGACAAAAACCCTTATAACCCAGAAACTATGACACTTACATTTGGTGTGTACAGTTGGTGTGTGTGAAATGCATAATTTAAAATATGTCACATTTGACCTATGACCTCCCCTTTAAGGTCATTAGATTGATCTGAAGGTCAAAGTGAGAATAATGCTATATAGAGTTATTAAATGCTAAGTTTCTAATTGCCATTTGCATTAACAATGTGTAAGCATATGGGGAAGGATATATGGGCATTTGAAATATCACATTATTATGGCTTTGTAATGTACATTATAGGAGCAGGTTATAAATGTTTAAGTACATAACAATGTGAATACATCCACAATGTTTATTTGTATGTTCCTAAAGATTTAAATGGAATTTACTGTGAAATAAATGCTGCACATGTATTATAATGACATATTAAAATAGATTTCAAATGATCAAATAAAAGAAGCCTACACTTTGCACTGGTTTTTTACTGCACTGCAAACTTCATAAAGTACATTTAAAAAGCACAGAGAAAACAAAATAAATGAAATGATAACTCTCAATGTGCTTCTCATTACTGAGTGTGTTATTGTTATAAAAATGTATGTGTGTGTGTTTATTCGGCACTTACTGAAGTATTCCCACGTAACTCTGAACTGCTTCTGCCCCGGCAGTCCTCCAGTTTTTCTTGAAGCCTATCATTAATGTGTTAGGCTTCATACGGCCAAGACCAGAAGCCTATGAGGAAGATATAAAATCCCAAATCTCAATGAGCTGTTAAGTGAAGCAATACAGACACCATGTTACCCTGGAGTTATAAAACCGAGTGTAAAACCTTGATTAAGAGAGGGAGGGGGGAATGATTTCTAGAAAGCTTAAAAATTTCCAAGCGAAATAGACTGTAAGGCTGTTTTACTGTCAGATCACTCAGCAGACCTCACTTTATCTTTGCCGGAGCTCATCCAAATGCAGTGTTAATCAGTTATAGCTTTTAATCTGCCGTGTTGTTTGAAGTAAGCTATCCGGACAATCATAAGAGGCCTTATCTCGACGGTGCAATAGTCTGAGCCATACCACTGTTTTTCCGCTCCGAACTTTTCTACTGCACATATGTCCTGGCCAGATTTTTAAGACAGCTCTAGATCAACAGATGTAGGGTGTTGTTTGGAAGACATGGGTCAATAAAACCTGCTTCTGTGAATCTGCTATCATATTCTCATCAAAACTCACGTTACACATTAATACGCTGGATTATTGTGGGTTAACTAGATTTTTTTATTTACCTCTTAAATAAATTATGACCATACTGACCTGCAGCAGACTCTCAGCCCCTTCTCTGAAGTTGTCACAGGCCACGGCAGCGTAAAATGCCTTGCGTTTTTTGTTCTTAAGCCACAACTGGTTCTTCTCCATTGCATTGTTCATCTCGTCAACGGTCTCTGATCTGGGGCCCTGAGGAGATCACACCATACGGCTGAATGTAAGCGTTTTTGTGAAAGGGAAAAGCGGTCCATCTTTTTTTATATTCAGAAAGTGCACCTGACCCTAAACTTTAGTCTCAGACAGTTGGCATTTCCCTCATTCCTACTTCACATTCTTTTGAACATCCACTGCATGCTAAGTCTGCACTCTGATGAATTACATTTGCTTGATTTTGCAAATCTTAATATAAATGTGAGGTTGATTTTTTAAATCAAGATTTTAAGACTGTCTGAGATTGCAATATTACATACCACAAACACTTCGCAGGTGATGCATAGTCCATAGTTCTTAGAGAAGGAGTGAGCCAGATCAAGGAGAGCCGGCCTGCTTCGTGTTGAACCCGTCAGAGCTAAGATCTGAGGCCTGAAGACGGGAAATAAGAACATTATCTCCTTTTTTTTTAGGTTTCTGAAAATCCCCTTGATTGAAAAGTTTTACCTAACGTAAATTATCTTTGAAACTATTATGATAATAATGTTTCTCATATGTGCTTGCAGGAATTGAGTGCAGGATTTTACCTGAAGTTCTTGACGTGATCCTCCACGCCTGACAGAGATAGAGCATTGCTGACTGCACTCACAAACGTCACCGCTTGCGTGGACGAACCCCAGTTTACATCTGAAGATAAAATCAGCCCGGACAGGTTAGCTCTACTTCTCCTGTTGCACAGCAAAAATCCTTCCAAGCAATCAAATAAGCTCACCGGGCTTCTTCACTGTGACATATATGTAGAGGAGGAATTCAATGCCATATGTGAGCAGAGCAGCCCACCAGTTGATAACAAACATAACAACGCAACAGAGCAATGCTCCCATCAGGGACAGCCACATGTTATAGTATTTATATGCCGGTCTCCAACCTGCATTAAAACAAAGAGCAATGTGAGAAAAGTGATGGAAAACAGACTATATATAACAAACTCCATTAAACATAATCCACTGCTGAAACAGCTCGGTTTGTCAGGTAGTGCTTTATTTCCTAAATATTTGAAGTCACTTATACAAAGTAATGGATTAAAACATTAACAGCAACAAAAAAAGGTAAATGAGGATAGGGACAAGCAGAACTACCTGATTTTACTAACATAATTTTTCCTTTATAAGCTACTTTTTAGACACCCACCTGGAGATTTGGCATAAGATGCATGGAAGCAGGAGAAATTGATGAGGGCATAAGATGCGAGGAAGAAGTTTGAGATGATAGGAGCGATTGTGTTGAGGTCACCTGCACAGACAGAAAATCACATTAAATTCTTTCACAGAGCGGGAATATCAAACTTAAACATGAACCAATATGTATCTGAAACAGGTTTGTGAATATACACAATAAGCAGATTGCTAAGAAGGAGTTTTAACTGTATCACTTGGCATGGACGCCACTTGTCAGATGAAATCTTCCTTTCATTGTTTGGCTTGTTTAGTTTATGTCAGTGATCTGTTGATGTGTGAACGTGTTTTCTGATTCATTCAAACTGGAAGACTTTGTTAGCTATGTGGTTTGAGACAAAGCATGAAATGTTGGTTTAAGGTTGTTGGTACAGCAGCAGCGAGCTCACCGATGAGAATGAAAGCAACAGAAATGATAAATGTGAGGACATAACCACGGATTGGCTCGTTGTTTTTGCCGTGTCCTTTGGCAAAGAAGTGCAGGGCCCTGTAGATGTTGTCTTTACACAGTGCCTGAGGAGAAAAGAAATGATGTGAAGGAAAATATTTTCAGAGGTTAAGAGCAACAGGTTTGCTTCTCTATGACTTTGCATTTTATTGTAGTACATTAAAAAAAACAGTGGCGATCTACTGACCTGGAAGACTTTAGGCGCACTGACAAGGGAAGCCAGGGCTGATGACAGGGTGGCTGAAAATGTTCCAGCAATAATGAGAGGACCAAACCCAGACACCAAGGTCATGACCTGAATCAGAGGTGATGAGAAGATGAGAGCATTACAGATGACGAAATTGAATTCTTCTTAAAAGTTTCTTTATTTAGAAAGTTGTGTACCTGGAAGTTATTCATCAAGCCAAACTTGCATTTCTCTACTTCACAGGAAGAAAAATCGTAGCCGAGTTCACAAGCAACCGCTGTTGAACCGTTGCAAATTACTGGTGTTGTGTGATTTATGATGCTGGATGAGTTGCCTGTGGCATCACGGACAACAGTAGCAGCTGACCAGTCGAAGAAAAGAGCAGATGGATTAATTAGCATTTTTTAGATAATATTTGTGCTTTCAGGACACATTTATATTCAGGGACATACGTGATACTGATTGTATGATCCAGGTAAAACAGTATCTGCCCAAGGTAATGCTATACACAGTTTTACTCATTCCAGTGAAGATTTTATTTCACTGGAGCTGCATTTAATCAAACATGTCACTTACCGACACAAAGAGCCATAGCCAGATAGGTGAGACCAGTGATCAGGATGGCTAACAAGGTACCTTTGGGTAGTGCAGCTTGGGCATCCTGTGAAATAATAAAGATTTGTGTTAAATTATGCAGCTCTGTGCTTGACAGTTAAATACAATGACTTTAAAGAAATGTATTTATGTAAAACAAATAAGTTTGAATTAAAAAAATAAAAACTCTTTATTCAAGCCCATGTTACGTAGCAGTTAATGACCCCCATGTATTACTCTTCTCTGTATGAAAAAGTTACCCGCAAGTCTCCAGAGATGTTAGCTCCAGCCAGGATCCCAGTTGCCGCGGGAAAAAAGATGGCAAATACTGAAAAAAATGTCTCACTGTCCCTAAATGCTGGAGTAAAATTCTCTAAGAAGATTTTGGCTGTGAAAAGAAAGAGTGAGGAGAAACGGCAGGGGTTAGCAGCACTTTGTGAGTGAGTGGGATTATTTGTAATGAAAAATGTGTATCGGTTTGGAGCGGATGTCTCACATCTGTAATTGAAAAACCCCTGGGCTTTCTTTTCGTTGGTTGCAGGAATGACTGTTCCTACAAAAACATTCACTATGGCCACCAGCAGGATAACCAGAAGAATAATTTGCGCCTGTGGTGAGAAACAAATGCAAACAGTTTAAGCTTTTGTACAAGTAAACGAGACTGGTGAACAAACAGCACCGTTTTTTGCTCTAACCTTTGCCTCCCATTCCATCCCAGCAACTGATATACCCAAGAGCAGCACAATAGTAATACAGCCAATGATCCTGATGTCGTTCATTTCATCCACCATGATAGCAGAGTTCTCCTGTGTATGACAAAAAAACCCCCCAAAAAACAATATATCTATATCTATATATCTATATATCTATGTATATGTATATGTATATATATATATATATATACAACAGCCTAATCAATATAACATGTCTCACCTTGAGCAAGTCGACCACTGTCTCAGCAAATCCCACCACATACATGGATACGCCCACTGCATTGGCAAATGCAAAAATAAGACCAATCGAACCACCGAACTCTGGTCCCAAACTGCGAGATATCATGTAGTAGGCACCTCCTGAAATGGCAATGTAACGCACACAGACACATACAGTAGGGAATGATTAATAGAAAATTCAGTGACTGGTTGATTTAATGTCAGGATAAGTTAAATACAGCTTAAAAAAAAAACACAAATAAAAAGTGCTTCAGGAGATCATATTCAGGTGTTGTTTGGAACTTTGTGCCTTTATCTTTTTCTTGAAATTTCGCTGCCTTACCTCCTCTCACCACACCATTAGTACAAATAGCCGACATGGAAATGCCAGTGATGGTGGTGACCACACAGCTGAGCGCAATGATCACAATTCCCAGACCTGAAATGCAAATATGCAAATAATCACTTTTGTAAAGTCCAGCTACAGCACTGCTTAGTTAGGTGTAAAACACTCTGTGTGTGACATGAAAGCTTCCTCCCCACAGTTAGCTTTAAAAGTGCTAAACTTTAACGTCTCATGGGAACCCCATGGGTTACCCCAGCTGATCTATAGGTTCTGAAGCAATGAACAAATTAATGAAGTCATACTCAAAGCCCCACTCCTATTTTTTATTTCTCTCACTTTCTCTCTCATCCACACACACAAACACCACTATCTACCTCTCCCAACAGACCTTGAGCAGGTATAGATCATTAAGGGAGCTCATTAATTATCCTTTAATTATCTCCAATCCCTGCAATTACATGGAACAGCATCGGCACTGGCCTTGACAACACAGACCTCTGGGATCGGTCTGTTTTTGCCCCAGATTATACATTTTCACCAGGTAAATGGATTATTTTTTATTGCGTTCACTGTTTGATAAGGGCTGGAGTTACAGCAAAAGTGCTCACACACACAAAAAAAAACATTACTGTGGGCTTGGTGGCTATTTATGTGTGCGTATGTGTGTATCGTTGCCCCACTCACCCCAGCCTGCTTGACCAAAAACCCAGGACAGACGGATGAACAACATGACACCCCAGATGTTGAGCATGCATCTCACCTGTGGAAGAGAGCAGTGTTAGTCTATTTTTCTCACTGTGTTTCATGATTTATTGTTATTTCAATTTATGGAGTAAATGTCACTGAGCATAATTTGGCTTTTAATTACAAAAAAATCCAATAAAAAAATATGTTGGGGGCCTTTTCTGACCTTTGTGCCCTTGAAACACAAAAGCAAGATCAAAATCATGTCCTGAGCAAATGCAAATCATTCCCAGATTCTGGTCTTGAAAGCGCCACTGGGCCTCGTTGTGTTATCGAGACCCACAGAGCTTCATCTTTGGTTGAGTGACCATGGTTAGATAAAAAAGAAGTAGCTTACCATGACCTAAAATAACTTACCAGGACTCCTCTTATCCAGCCAAACTTTACCATGCCCTTCATATCGTCAGTGGGAGCAGCAGACTCTAAATCGTCAGAGGGGGTTCCACTGCTCCTCTCGCCATCGTCCTCCAATGTGTCTGGGACAGAGATCACCCCGTTCTGGAGGAAGAATGAAAACACAGAAGGAAACATACATTTTCACAGTAACTCGATGGCATTTTTGGTGTTTATATGCACAATCCGCTGCAAGAAAAGGGGCGGCATTATAAAAAGTTGTGGTTTTTGTTTTCTCATGGCAATAAATAGGTGGTTGTGTTTTTTCATTTTTTGCTGGCAAGGGTACTAAAATATCTTCTTTTTTTTTTAAACCATCCAGGGTTGCAAACCTAATTCAGCCAATAAACCTAAATAATCTTACCCATTTCTTAGACAATGTAGCCTTATAATAATTAAAAAAAACAATAAAACTTAAGTGTGTCAAGAGTGCTGGTTGTCATTCAGTTGTAAGAACTTTTGTTGTCCTTTTTAGTTTCACAAGTTTTAAGATAAGGCTCTAATAATTGGACTGTGGCTACTGCACGGATGTTTGAAAGAATAAACATCTGTAAAATATATCACTTCACTTTCTAATGAAGTGTGCAGCAGAGGAGGGAAAAAAAAACCCTGCAGTTAAAACGTCACTGATTTGAATTTGGAGAAAAATGGGTGCAAGCTATTTTCTGCAGAATGGCAGGTTGTGGACAAAACAGGCTTAACAGAGGAGGAGATTGGGTGCCGACCATAGAGGAAAAACAGAGAGATCTTATACATCTCACACATCTACATTCACTCACCTTCTGAAACACATCATGGAGCTCCTGCAGGGACGGTCGCACAGCTCTGTGGCCACTCATGCTGCCTGCATTGCGGTAGAAGTCAATGTGGGGCACGCGGTCCAGAGTGTCATGACCGAAGGCGCTGATCACGGAGGGTCGCACTGTCCTGTGGTCATCGTTGGTCTCCTCATAAACTGGAGGTTCATCCAGGTTGGAATCATAGGCAGAGTTGATGTGCCCCCCCTTGTTAGAATTGAATCTCTCCATCAAGAATGCTGAGGGAGACTCTCAGATTTAAACCGTCAAGGATGAAAGAACAGTCTAGTCTTCAGACATCCAAAAGTTTCAAAAGCGCAGAGAGCTGGATCAACTTGGTGTGGTTGTCCTTGTTTACTGATGACAAGGCTATGATCTATGATCAGACTTGCAGAGAACTCTTCTGATACTCTCAGCTCCTTGCAAATGAGCTGGGTTTCTTTCAGATGGCTTACCTTTATACCATGTATCCCAGGGTCATACACTGGCTGTCAGCTATTGGCTAACTTACTGGATCAACCCTCAGAAATCCGAACAAGGGGTGTCAGATATGTCCTTGCTCCATCGTAAGGGACACAAAGACATTGCTTAACTATTAACCAAGTCATAAACACCAAACGAGAGATAAAGGTGCTCATTGCCTGAGTGCTGGAGAATTGATTACTAATATTATTGTCTGAAGAGTAGGGTAACAGCATATGCTGTTCTGTGGTTGCAGTTTAAGTATAGTATTTCCTCAGACCTATGGATGAATCATTTGGAAACATCCACATGGAAGTTCTCACTAAACAGGTTTCAGACCCATTATGATGTGTATATTGTAAAGAGTCTGAAAAAGATAAGGCTAATGTAGGCCAATAGAAAAATATACATTTCATAACATATGTTTGCAATAAGATATAATCCTGAGGAACGGTGTGATAACAGGAGAATCTACGTGTGACTAGTATACTGGGCCCAGAGTTATATAGCGGATTAAATAAATGTCTCTAATGATTCTCTTTGCTGCAAATTGTTATGGGGGAATGTTAGTGAATTGGCGAGCTCAGAAGAAATGGCCATATTAATGGGGAAAATGGGAGTTAATATAAGACCATGAATAACAGGAACATGCCGGAGGCCTTTCACCAGAGCCACATGACTTCTGAAGTGCCTTTAAAAGACCTTTTAACAGGTAAACTTCCTTATTACTGATACACCACAGTGATTTATGCACCCAGTGAAAGGGTGGCTAACGACTTGAGATCTGACCTTGGCTGTATTGCAGGCTGACAAAGATACTCCAGCATGTGTTTCTATATCTAAGTTGAAAGGAGACAATCAATTGTTCATTGCCTATCAAATCAGTGTTTCAAAGTTTTTATGGTTTAACACATGAATGATACTGACTGAGTCATGCTGAAGAAAAATTTCCATGTGGAGTGTAAAGATCTGCACACTAGATCTCTCCTCTTCCCTTCTGCCTCCCCATCTCGTTTTTTTTCTTAATCAGACTCCAAAAGGCTTGTACACCTAATAAATAATAATAATAATAATAATAATAATAATAATAATAATAATAATAATAATAATAATAATAATAATAATACATTTTATTTAAGAAAGCGCCTTTCAAAACACTCAAGGACACTGTACACAAGCAATAACAACAACAAATGTTATAATTTACAAAATAGTAAAGCTAAAACGTAGAGCAAATAAATAAAATACACTAAAGTAGCAGGATGGAAAAGTTTATGTGGATTAGGCTATTGTGAACAGGTGAGTTTTGAGTCTGGACTTAAAAAGAGGGAGGGAAGTGAGGTTTCTTATCTCAGGAGGAAGGGAGTTCCAAAGACGGGGGGAGAGCAGCAGAAAGCCCTGGACACTTTGAAGCTTATGGATAGATTTTTGACTAAGACCAAAAAGAAGAGAGTTGCAGTAATCGATCCAACTAATACAGATATTAGTCTTAAGCTTTGAGACACATGTTCATTCCCAGGTTTACAGTGTTTTTGGTGGTTAAACAGACCCAGGCCTTGTCTCATTTTACACTGCGGCTTTCTTATTAGAGTCAGTGATCCTCAGGCCTTGCTGACTCTCCCGCAGCCGGGACATGAAATTGCTGCGATTCTTTTTTATTATCCAGGCTGCTTGACTTTTGCCAGATCTGCTTTAATAAATTCACAGTATACAGCTTTCCTCAGAGAGCTGTTGAGCGGACACTGTGAGCCTGTGGTAGCAGGTGCATATGCACCAATTTGTACAGAGAACAAGGGAGTCTGCACTCTCGTTAACATCCAAATCACTTGAAAAAGGCAGAAAACCCCTTTGCATAATCTATCAAGCCTGCAATGTGAAAATATTAGCAGACAAGATTCTCGGCATTACATCATAAACAGGAAGCAATAGACTGCAAATTAAAGAGTGGTCAAACCTTTTAGCTCCACTCATCTATTGCACTAATTGTACTGCATTATGGCATTCAGAAACAAAATAAGTGACCTGGACTCAAATATGGTCTATTTAAAAAAAAAAAAAAGACAAGAAAATTTTAAGTGCTGGATAAATGTTCTCTCTTTTCTATAATCTAGCAAAGACCAAACGTGATCCTTAAAATGAAAAGGAGAAAAAGTCAAACGCGAAATAACTCGCAACTTCTGGCTTTGATGGCTGTAATGTAGCCTTTGATCCAAGAGTAGCAGCACTTCTCTGAAAATTCAGCTTTTTTACATAACTACTACACATAGAAGTGTTTTCTTGCAATATTAAACTCAGGTAATATATACAGTTTCATTATCATTAATAATAATGATAAATATTCAGGTAAAATAAACTTTCTGTATATATATTATCTTGATCAAATCAATTCAAACCACCCTGGTTTGAATTGATTTCAGTGTTAGCATTAACATTAACTTGCAAATAACTAAGAAAAGGGTATCCAAGAATCAGTTTTTTTTAATCATTTAAAAGTAAATTATTAAAGAACCTTTTAATCATTAATAACCATTATCAAACAATGATATATATCGAGGTAGGTAATCATTGATATGTTCATTCAGACAGGCTTCCACAGTTGTTCAAAGCGCTTATTTCGAGCCTGTCCACATTAAGATTATACATGCAAAAGCAACCCAGCAAACCCAGCGTGAACTGTGAAAAGATAAATAAACACCTTGAAAATTTTTATGATTTTGAGTTTTCTATACAACGTGCCATTTTTAGCACCACTGCTCTTTATCAGAAGCAAATGCAATTATGGGGAGGCTTGTCAAATTATGTAACTCAAGTCACGAGTCTAAAATTAAATAGTCTTAGATAAAGCATTAGATCTGACCCCAAGGGCACTGACAATAATCAGTGCAGTGTTAAAATGAGGCATTTAAACTACAGTATTCACCTCACTAAAATGATTTCCTAAAGCTCTTGTACTAAAAGCAGCAGATTGTGTTAAATTTCTTTTGGTTTAAACAAAAATGTAACTTTTTGGATCTTCTGGCCTTATTGCGACATCAAGGTCATAGCTGTGAGGTCTGAAGATTGCAAGTTATAAAACTAATGATCGATAATCAGCAACGCTAAGGTACGTTATTCGGCCATGCCATCAACACATGATCTGTGCAATAATAATTTTGTAATCATTCATCAGCTCCTATTTCCATCAAACCCAGGAGCCAAAGATCCAAAGAACTGTCTCCTTGTTTTATTCCAGTCAATGAAGGGATAGCGATTTATAGTGTTTAAACGAATAAACGACACCGTCCGAGCTGACAGCAGAGTGACATATTACAAGACAGTGCGACGCAGAAACGCTTCGAAACACTTCCTGGGTAACCTTTGTTAGAATGTCGGGTTCATTTTTCTTTTAAGTGGTCTTGAGGGCAAATTGGGCCTTTTCCTGCTAAGAATAGATTTAAGATAAGGGTGTCACATAGGTGACAGAGATAATGGTGCAATAATGATTGCATTCCTGACAAATGATGCGTGTCAGAGGGGATGAACAGGGTGGCCTTTCATTGTAAACTGCATGTGGGTTCTGCAGATCTGCTTGCGTCTGCTGTTGCATTAGCCCCCATTTCTCTTTAGACCGTACCATACATGCACATGCATATCATCATTTTCTGCATGAGGACCTATTTGTAAATGTTTTATTTAAAAAAACATAAAAGTCTAACTGCTTCTAAATCTCTGATGGCATCAGCCACACAGGGGCGTGGCTGAGGACTCTAGGAACAAAATGCCTGCTCAGCAGGACCAACCATGGGCTTACCAGGAGCAGGGGTGTTTTAGGTTTAGTTAGGTTATTCTGTGCTTAGTTAATATTAGTGTGTGTTTTTGTTTTCCCCCTATTGTGTGTAAATGGTTTGGCCAAATCATTATAAAAGCTACCCTCATGTCTTTGTAATTAGGTCAGTTTGTGAGTTAAGTTGTGTCTCACTTTGTTTTATTTAAGTTTCTGGAAATTACTTTTCGTAGAGTTATATTTAGTTGACCTCTTTTATGGGCCTGCTAAGTATGTTTTTGAATTTTGGTAATTTTGGACTTTTTGAGGGTTAAAATAAAGAAAACCCTTTTTGAAGATATTTTTTTTTGCCTGTGTCCTCTTTGCTTTGGCTGCTTGGTCCCTCACAATCTCCAATATTAGCCTGTGGCGCTGTCTTGCTCCCCTTCCCTCTGTTGCTGCAGCAATGTTGCAAAACTGCTCTCCTAGCTTACGAGCGGGCCATGTAAAAAGGCTTGAAATTTTGTAGCGTGCTCACATGTAAAACAGATCTCCCCGCATAAGAAGCAAGAGGCACAAAACACAGAGACTTTGCAAGCAATATTTTAAAGTGAAGAAAATTCTATTTATTTTTACATCATTGGATCCAACGAAAATCAATGAGAAACCTCCACCACCAGCTGAGCAAGCGACAGGCCTGTCGTCATGATATGACACTCAAGCACACACACACACACGCAGGCGTACGCGGGCACGCACGCACAAACAGGTGCTCTAATGTTTTCTAGATGAAGGCACATAAACCCATTGAAGGTCACAGTAAGGCAGAGTCACAGCGCTAAGGAGAAACCGTAGACCATAGAAATTAGCAAAGGAACACTCCAGACTTTGAGCAGTGGGCCGAATTACAGAATCTCTGCTTAGGACTGTTCTCTCTTCCTCTGTCTGGAAGAAAGACTGGAGGTGAGACCGAAACTACAGGAAAAAGATGTTCAGGTGCAGCGGGACGCACATCCCACACCTGTTTTCCATGTGACCTTTTCCTATGCAGGCAGGCGAGCAGTGAGAGTTTCTCCTTGTCGTCAGAAAACTAGCAGTGCTGAGAATGAGGAAGTCCTTCCAATTTTTTTTCGTCCTCATTTCGCTTGAAAGCTAAACAATGGAAGTAATGCTTGACAAGTCATAGAGCAACACTGCCACATGTATCAAAGTAAACAGTTGGGGTTGTTTTTTGTTCCTTTCACTCTGACACGTGATTGTGGCAGGATACAGTATACCATCATTCAAAAAAAAGCAGCAGTACAAACTCTTGAGAGTTGATTTTGCATCATTTAGAAACAGTAACACCATAATGTAAATCACAGTTTGTCGTGTTGCCTTTCATTGCATGACTTCAGAGAACAAGACACCACAGAAAGGGACCGAAGTGCACACACAGCAGCAGCAGCAGCATCCATTTGGATCATCCACAGATTGGATTTGATTAGTCTACAAAGCACTAGTTAGACATATTACCCTGTATCCACTCGTATACATTCCTGTGCAGAACAATTTAGCTGTGCAGAGTTTCAAACACTCTCTCTCTTCCATTCTAAGTTCACATGAGGAATCTTGTCCCTGAGTCTTTAAACTATATCGTAAAAGATCCATTGCATCCTAATCTCCCACCCACTTCCATGAACATCCATGAACATCCATGAACATCCATCTCTTATTATCTATCTACAGACATTCATTCATCTCGCAGGTATGGGTTAAAGGGAGCTTCAGCCAAGTTCTGTGTAAATCGATGAATTGAAATACACACCCCCTGGCAGAAGGGCGGACAATATGACCACCTCGCACACTCACACGCATACAACAAACATGTAGTCGCACACGGACACTGAACAATTCACACACATTAAACAACACACGTGGCTTTGCTGTTGGAGTTTGGTATGCCACAGTAATGTCTTAATGGCGTTTCAGCGTGCAATGGTTGTGCGGAGCTTGTGTGCGTTCATGTTTGCAAGTGTGTGTGTGTGTGTGTGTGTGTGAATATGCATATGGATTTCCATGGACACTTCTTGTTTGCCAGGACATCTACTGATGCGTGTGTCCCTGTGTTAAGTAAGGGCATACTCAAACGTCCCTTTCTCCAGCCCCTCAATGCCATCAGCCCAGTTGGAGGAGGGCATACTGCTGTAGGGGTCCAGCAGGATCCTGAAACACCTTACTATTAGCAGCCCCAAAAACACAAGTAGCATCCCCACAAAGGCAAAGGCTGTCTTCTGCTCCAGAGTCAGAGAGTGCGCCATCATGTCGTTTCCGCTCATGGCAGCAAGGGAGTGGTTGTAGTGGACGCTGCTCATGGTAAACCAACATCTAGGTGCCTCATCTCTCCTCTGATAGGGTCAGGCGTTTAGAAGCCTGCATGTTACCTGGACAGAGTTTAAATGATGGTGTCAGCTATCGGCCATCATGTCTTGTGAGCAGATCCATTTCAATCAGTCTGTTTAAGTGCAACAGTTAATGCATAGACTGTAGAGAAATTCATTCAAGGTTTCCTGTATCTACATAAATGCCTCTATTGAATGTTCGAAGATTGATCTCTCTCATTCTACAGATCACCCCCACCCCCCCTGTAAATTTTGCAAAGAAATAAAAAAAAAAAAAAATAACAACCCCAAAACCCAAAGAGCATACGTGAACCGAGGAAAGAGACAAGCTCGACTCACTGAAAGCGAGGCATCACTACATGTCTTTAAGTCAGGTTAGAAATACAGTGTGTCGCAGTGCATAGCCAGCCGTTACACATAAGCAAAGCAGTGAGGAATGAATGACTACATCGCATCTTGTGAAGATGTGACGCTATATATGTTCCGCTCACAGGAATGGAATCTCTACCTGTTGCATGTAAGCAGATGCCTGCGCGACAGTGCAATTCCATTAGACGGTGAGAGGGAAACCGTAACTGACCAAATATAATCAAAAAATTGGTGTGGTCACCCAAGTGGAAGTCTGCACTTTCCCAATCCCCCAACCCCAACCCCAAAATCTTTCACATGAACACAAGCAGCAGGTGGCCAGAGTGAGAGGACAGGAAGCGGTGAGGGGGTAAAAGAGAAGGGGGATACATACAGATAGGAAAATGAACAGGGAGGACAGGGAAAGACAGACGAGGAGGAAGGAAGCAGAATGATGAGGAGGACACTGCACAAGTGTGGATGGTGAGAGAGAGTGAGAGAAGAGAGAGCGAGGCAGTGAGGTAAGGTAAAAGAGAGAGGGACTGCATTGACAGATTCTCTAGTGAGGATGTCTTAGGGAGAAAAAACAGGCGTCTCACCATCATTATCGTGCCATCCTTACAGACCTGTTGCTGCTGTCTCTTCCGAACAACTCCTCCTTCTTGAAGCCTTCAGATGTATATCCATTAATTCATCCATTCCTGGCATTCTGGATGTGCTAGGCTAACTGCTCATCTAACCAAAAAGCCAGAGGTGAAGAGATTAAAACAGAGGAAGGGAAGCGGAAGGCTGGATCTAGCTATTATATGTCTATTCTGAGAGATAGAGCTCCTGTCCTCATGCTCCTTTACTTGCCGCCCGCTGCTCATTATCATTCTGTTTCTCTAGCTCTCTCTCCAGAAGCACGCGCGCTTGCTCCTGCTGCATGGCAACCACTTGTTAGTCTCACTCAGCTGCTCTGCTGCCTCAGTCATTCACAACATTCCCTCCCACCCCAACCTCAGCAGCACCAGGATGAATGCAGCAGCATAAACAAGCAATCTGCCTCATCTGCTTCTTCTCTCTTCACTGTTCCTTCTCGGGGCTTATTTGGGGGCTTTCTCCAAAAAACAAAACGTCTCCAGCAAAAATCAAACAGGGATCTCCTGCTTTAGCAGGCAGGGGGAGTGCTCCCTCTGACTGCCTCTGGGCTGTAAATGCTGCTGCAAAGGTATTTTTGGTACAGCACAGCACTATCCTTCAAGCCGAGTTTGATGATGTGTCTTTAATTGGTGCAGTTGGCTGTGGCCAAATCGAATTAGCCCCCTCTCCTTAAAGGCTTATCCGAATGCAAGCTGCCCTGACACGGCGAAGGAAAAAAGCCAGTCATTTTAAGAGATATTAATGTAGTGAATGAAAAGCAGTATTGCACAGAAAACAAAAAACAGATCAAACAGCAAGTACTTGATTATTAACTATAAAGGAATGCAGCAGTGAAGCATCTGGCCATCTGTTTCATTGTTATTCAGTAGACATTCAGATGAACAATGTTGTTTGTTGTCACAGTGGTGCAGTGGCTCGCATCTAAGGATAAGGCATGTCATGAGGGAGATTATCATCACCGATGCAACCTTAGATGGGAATAGTTTCTTCATATTGGATTCGTGCCTCTGCAGTGTAAATTTTAGTATTGCTTTTCTTGGATCAGCAGCTATTTTTTAGACTTATTGTTATTACTTTGCTGTATTCAGGTAGAAATAGGCAGCCTGTTTCAGTATTTCAGACAGTGTTTGCAATTTAGATGCCACACTGCACGGGTAGTTTCATCATTAGTCTTTTTACCTTGTTGTTCTTATCAACTTAAAGCCCAAAGGTTAAAATGAAAGTCTCTTAAGAGGTGCTATTGTGAAGATACAGTGGAGTAGTGTGGCTATCAGTGATGAAACGCATGTAAACTGCATGTTATTATCAATCCATTGATTGATAACAAATTTGCAGAGAGGATTTCACAAGTCCATTCATGTCAAAATTATCAGAAGTTCAATTACTTGCCTTTATCATATCATTAAATGCACCTTTACTTGTGTATCAAGGTGAAAGAGGAACTGCTGAGGCATTAACTTGTTGCATAAAGCATATTAGAATATTATCCAAGCGATCAGGAGAAAGGCTGATACTGAGAACTGTAAAACAATTATTCTAAACTGCTCTAAGAGAAACTTTAATGAATGTCTTTTTGCGGGGTTATACCGTCTCAGTACAAAGACTGATTTGCAAAGATTGTAATTACTCCAGTTGGCTTTCCCGTCAAACAAAACTGCTGCAAATACTACTTCTCCAGGGAGCTGCAAGTTAATCAAATCAAATTTTATTTTCATTAAAAAAAGAAAAGGTCTGGTACATTTTTGCACAAATACACAGGGCGATCGTGGCTCAAGAATTGGCAGTTCGTCTTGTAATCGGAGGGTTGCCGGTTCGAGCCCCGGCTC